GAGGAGAAGATCAAGGCCAACGATGCTAAGATTGCTGAGCTCGAGTCTACCGTCGAGGCCGCCAAGGCTAAGGAGTCTGAACTCACCGCACTCCAGGCCAAGCTCGACGAGGCCACCGCTGCCTCAGAGACCGCGACCAAGGATCTCGAGACCTCCAAGACTGAAGCTGCCGACGCCAAGAAGTCCCTCGAGTCCCTCCAGGCTACCCTGAAGGAGCAAGAGGAGAAGACTACCGCCCTGACATCCGATGCCGAAGCCGCGAAGAAGGAGCGTGACGACATCAAGACGGAACTCGCCAGCGCCAAGGAGCAACTCGAGAAGGCTCAGGCTGAACAAGAGGAACTCAAGAAGGCCAACGCTGAGATCTCTTCCAAGGCTGAATCCAAGGAATCCGCCGCACCCGCCGTCGAGCCCGCCCCTGAGCAAGTCGCCACCGAGCCCGTCGCCGAGCCCGTCGCCGAAGCCAAGGTAGAGCCCGAAGCCGTTGCTGACGTTCCTGCCGTCGACGGTGCCGCCGAGACTGAAGCTTCCAAGGAGGCTGAAGAGCCAAGCACACCTACTACACCCACTACGCCTGGCAACCAAGCCGAAGAGGAAGACGGCGACGCGAACGGCGAGGCCACACCCAGCTCGGGGAAGAACAAGAAGAAGAACAAGAAGAAGGGTAAGAAATAAGCGTGAAGATGACGACGCTTGTTTGATGATACCTTTTTCTTAGTACAAGTATGAAGATTGCTGCGTTACGGATGGACGCATAAGATGACGAAAACACGGAAGTGGAAGATGGAAGATGGATGGGAAGTTGCATTATACCCTTGCTGCACTGGCACCCTCCCTTTTTGAAGATGGTGGGGTGGCTGTGGGAGGATTTTAGATTGTTTTGTTTTGTTTTTGCTTGCCGTCGTTTGTTTGTATTGCGGTTGCGACCCCGATCTCTCTCCTCCTCAGTAATGACCGCCTTTACGCCCTTCGCATGAGTATGAGATGGATGAATGGATGGATGGATGATAGGGATGATAAGGAACATGAGTCATGTAGATAATGAAAAGACACCTTTTTGCGCTTTGTATACTTCTATCCATCTCTCAAAATTGGTTGTTGTGATATGCTCAAATGTATCGCAGGTGTCGAAATCGTGCCACGTCATTCGGAGCGTATACTCTTCTTTCTCCGAGCTTCCGGCACCGTTCGCCTTATCCAACATTCCAAGTACGCCCGCGTACCCCTCAGAAGTCGAGGGACTTGAGGCCGGATATACATATCGTGGCACGAGAACGGTGGATGTGAAAAGCTCTTTCTACTGCGCCTATGACGGCGTAGGGTAAATACGATGTCGACGCACGTAGCAAGTCCTCTTACTAGCATTTGACTTTCATTCGCTGATTTGGTCGTAATACGTTGAAGTGGCTGGCTCTAGTAGTTGAAAGAAGAAGGTACGCAATATGACACAAAAGCGGTAGATGTAAAGAGCTAGTCATACTGCACCTATGACGGCCGCAAACTAATTTCGATGTTCACGCACACAGCAAGTCCTTTCGCCAGGATCTAACGTTCATTCGTTGACTTGGTTGTAATGCGCCAAGGTGGCTGACTCTACTACTTGAAAGAAGAAGGTACGTACTGTAGTAGAAGTTCGTGTAGCAAGGGAAGTCGGGACTATGCCGAAGTGGAGCGGTACAACGTTGTTAGTTGTGTTATCTTCGTACGACACGGAGGCGTTTTGTAGATGTATATATGAGTATAAGGATACGGAAGATCTGTCCGCACACATCCTCGTCTCATTTCCTTGATACTTGCCATCTCTACATCAGCACTACATACAGCCCGCAATGATGACGAAAGCACCTTTCTTGACGCTTCTCTTCATCACGACAGCGACCTGTCTCTCCATCACCGTCAACAACAACTGGCATGACCAGTCGGTCCTTGCACCCAAGTGCTTAAACAGGTTTGGTACACTCTCCTCTCTCTCGTCTCGTGCTTACACTCGTTTCTCACCCTCTACTATACAACAACAATATTTCAGCATGGTGAACACGTCATTATGTCAAGGCTAATCATACATGGCAGACCGGTGCAACCGTGACATCGACGAGCCACAGATATGCTGCAAGGGGTTGATGTGTAGGGAGAGTGACCTGCACCAGACAATCCATGAGTGTCTAAAGCCATTACTTGTGCAAGTCGAGACTCTCGGAGAACCAGAGTGTCGGATTGTGAAGCGTAGGTCTCAATTTTCCCTCCTCTCCTCTCCGCTTCTCACATATGTGCATTTTATTACGTCTCTTTGATACTATGAAGGTGTAGCTGATCGTATTCTAGAACATTGCAGGCCGCTTCCTGATCGCCCGCAGGAGGGTTGTTGTAAGGGGATGGTGTGTGAGAGGAGGTGGGATGGACATGGGCATTTGGACGATTGGCATATGTGCTATGACCAGGAGAGTCTGGAGCTATGATGTGATGCACAGAGCAACCGAGGGGTATGTGAGAGAGAAGACTTGGGGAGGGTTAGGCAGATAGATGGTGCACGAGCGTTATGAAGCATTGATACGGGTATCTTCGATGCCGGAGTGAGCGTGACACGGGGTGTGTGAGTGTTAAGAAGCTTTGACACGAGGATGCAGCGAAGTACGCGGTGTGAAATGGTGTTGAAGCTATGATACGGCAATTCAGCCTTGCACAGTATGGTCACGTACGTCATCATATGGGTGCGTGTATGGTGTCGAAAGTGTTGAGGAAGCCGGAGAGTTGTTAGTCACAGAGAAATTAGAGGTTGTTGTTCATACGGCGCACTTTGCGGTGAGAGGTGGACGAATGGACTGGGCGTTTTGTATACACCTTAGTGGTGAGACACGTCGCCGGCTTGTGCTGCTGTGGCTGGAATAGTTGGTCATCGGAGCGTCTGTTGCTGAGAAGTTGGTGGTGTACGAGAGAAGCTCATTTTCGCTGCTTCCGGCTCATTTCATTCGTTGATTGCGCATCTTGAAGTGTGAGTCTTAAACATGATCTGTTGTCAATCGGATCAACCTGCTAGCGTTGAAGACAGTGCGGCGGAAGGTCCTGCTGCGTTGAAGGGGAAAGTGTGATAATCCAATCGACACATGGCATGCAGCTAGAACCCCAGGCTCGACTCCAGACGTTGAGAAGAAAGGCCCGAAGCTGACAGTAGCATCATGCGTGGCGAGGAATGCTTTTTCGTTCTTCGAACCTTAGCGCACAACGCGCGACAGCAGGATCGTCATGCTTATTTGCCTCACGCACCGAGACCCGGACCAGAAAAGTGTCGGAACATTCTGTAGTCTCGAAACACGAGTTGCATGCTGATCTCACGATAACTGCGAGCAGTTCGGTCGCCGACTCTCGCGTTTTAGTCTCCGTCGCACTTAGAATGTTGAGACAACGAGAAGAAAAGCGCGATGAGCTTGCGGAAGTAAGAAGCGTAGGAGTCTATGCGAAACAATGATGGTGTGTATAATAAAGAGATGGAAGTCGGCTCCAGCCTCGTTCAAACTTGCTTTACCATGAGTACCCAACTTTCCTCGTTCGCCATGAAGATCACCATCCACCTACTCTTCGCACTTGCGTCATCGGCCGCTTCATTATCTCTGCACGAGTCTAGACAAACGTCTTGTCAAACTCTCGGTGGTGCGTTGTCAATCCCTCTGCTGTTCAACTGCGGGCATGAAAGCAATATTGAAGGCGCGTGCGTGCATTTAGCTAATGATGAGCAGAACATTGCCTTGCTGATCCCGGCGACTTCCCTCAAGACGGTTGCTGTAAGGAATTCAGCTGTGAGCAACGCAGAGATCCATGTTTCGGTATTCTGGGACCATTCAAATGTTACGACACGGCTGCTCCTGATGAAGAATGTACTATAACGAGGACGGAGTGATGGGATTGAACGCGGGGTCGGGTTGTGGTGCTGGTAGCGGAAGATGCCGCGGTAGATCCTGTGACAATACTATCGATAATGGTGACCTAGCGCACGGCAGTCTAGCATATCCGTAAATGTTAGAAGATGAACAACGTGATAGACGATGCCGTTAAGATGCGTCGTGGTTCTAGTCCACCGCTCCATTGATGTGCTCGCCTGACCCCGCTTTGGGCGGACCGAGCGGGCGCTAGGTAGGTCCTGCATCCCCAACGATGTTTGCTCTTTCCCATCCTTCTTCCTGCACCCCGACTTCACGATGTTGTTCCTGTCACTCCACATACCCGAGATCTTCGCACATGTTAGCACTTCCTCGATATCCAGCTAGGCATGTAGGCTAGCTGACCGCCGAAGCCTGGTGCAAACAGCTTTGGGGGTCGTGCACCTGTGTCGCCTGAAGCGTGCCCAACTCCAGTTCAGCTTCATATGACTGCTCACGGTCTTGAGATGAGACACCTTGTCTTCTGAGAAGAGCTGCAAGTCTGGTCTTCAGATGTTGCAGATGTTGAGAAGTACACGGCATGGCATGTCCCAAAATAACATGAACGCGCTGGCTTTGGTCGAAGGATCGCCTCATCCCCGTTTCATGTGACGAGTGAAGCAATGGTTCAAGTCCATGGCGCGTACTGTGGTCTGCGAATCTGGTGTCTGCTCAGTAATGCGCCGATCGGCTCCATGTCCGGCATTGGTATCATGATGCAGTCGCGCGGTTAGATCAAGGCATGGACGAAATGTTTCCCACGAGCTGACGGACTTCTCACCGCTATGGCGATGCGCTGGTAAAGTGGCCGTTGAACAATGCTTCTGGAATGTTTCTGGTAGCTTTGATTAGCACAGATCCGATCTTCATGCGTGCAGTCACGACGATGCCAAAAAAGCACACTTCAACACCGTGCACGAGAAGAAGCATCAGGACAGACACCGACAACCCAGCATATAAGGCTACTTCTCATACCACCTTATTGCTCATCAGCTCATTACATCTCATTCACACAACAGTCACTACTATACACTAATACCTTCTAATAATTCTTACGATCTTTCCCACCGAATTCATTCAAACGCAAATATGAAGTTCTTCGCTATCATCGCTGCTGCTCAGCTCGCCACTGCTCTTCCTTTGGCCAAAGAGGATGACTCCAAGGCCTGCTCCGGTGGTATGTCGCATTCTGCCATCGCTTCCGTTTTCCCCACTGACCAGACACAGTTACCTGCCCAGTCACAGAGGCCTTAGGCTCTTCTGTTCCAGCGGTCCCTGGCATGAAGCGCACCTTGTTCGACGACGTTCTTGGCAAGCCCGCGAAGGACGAGGAGGAGAAGGAGAAGCCTGAGGAGGAAGAGAAGGAGGAGAAGGAGCCTTCTTACTACGTCACTCCCTCCAAGGAGGACTTGAGCTACGACGAGCTCAAGCCCGAGATGGAGGAGTCCTACGAGGCCATCCCCAAGGAGACTGAAGAGTCTACTGACGAGCTTGAGTCTTACGACGAGCTTCTCTCCAAGAGGACCCTCGGCGACTTGTTCGGCATGGACGACGAGGACTCTTACGAGGAGACCAAGCCCGAAGTCACCAGCTCCGCCTACGAGGCTAAGCCCACGCCCAGCCAGGGTTACGAGCACGCCCCCAAGCCTTCCATGGCCTACGAGCATGTTCCCGAGCCCAGCAAGGCCTACGGCGCCGTCCCCACACCCAGCAAGGAGGCTTACGAGCATGTCCCCGAGCCCAGCAAGGCCTACGGCGCTGTTCCCACCCCCAGCAAGGAGGCCTACGAGCACGCTGAGCCCAGCAAGGCCTACGGTGCCGTCCCCACTCCCAGCATGGTCCACGAGTACACCAAGCCCAGCATGGTCCACGAGAAGCCCACCCCTTCCTTCGGCTCTTACGAGTCTGCCCCCACCCCCGTCAAGGACACCTACGAGTCTTACCCCGCTGAGGACTCCTACGAGGAGGGCACTGAGGAGGAGACTGAGGAGGAGACTGAGGGTGGTGACATGCTCGATGGTCTCACCAGCATCCTCGGCCTCAAGAACTAAGCCGCGCCGATGATTGCAGCCTATGTGTGATGCTACCATCACCATGAAAATTTGGATGGAAAAGTTGTGTTTGACTCTTCGTATTCAAAGCAAGCCCTTACGGCTTCTTTCGTTTGTCTATAGCTCGTTTGAGCCCCCCTTTGCAGTCGTTCTGGTTAGCCAGCTCGAATGTGTACATGTACTTAGACTAGTATCTTCAAAATTGCAATTGTTATTCTGCTATCTTCCTGAACCATGTTGCGAGTGACCCATCAACAGCTTTCAGCAGTCCAATGCTTGTGAATGGTTGTTACTCTATTGTCATCGGTCTGGCAATCATCGCTGTTGCTAATGAGTTTGGGACTCCCATACCTACACTCTGCCAGCTATACTTTGCGCGAGAGTCTAACTGACACTACTGCATTCTATGCACCTCTAATCAGCACAACCTATTGAATGTCTCCGATCACGGTCTCTAATGATCTTTTTGCGGGGTCAGGCTGAAGATTCATCAGCCTGGTGCCATCGTGCCGCCTGCAGCGATTATGAACCAATGATACCGTCACAAGGGTTTGGAATGCGATCAAGAGCCTTAAGGCATGATCTCTCATTCGTAGACGCCGTCAAGCATGCCAAGGAAGGATATGTGATGCCGCAGGTATGTCTACATCCGGCGTCGTGGTGTTGTGATAAGAGCGTCGGGCTCTATTAGAATTAGCCGCAGATCTCTCATTAGTCGTTCTTTGCTGAAGGCAACTTGCAAAGCCTGAATAGCGCACCGATCAGTTGTTTCTAGAGTGTTCATGCGTCACCCATGACGGCTGGCGACACGAACCTCCTTGTGTATCGCCTCCGGCAACACGAAAGTAGCATGTATAAATGCCGCGGAGATCGGGTGTAAGTTGCTCGTCAGTCCAGCTTACCCTGAATCCTATCCTACTTCTTCTCAAGCACTTCTCACAACTTTGGAACCCTTCCGAACATGGATTTTGAACCATACACCCCCCATCACTTCAACACCGCCCCAGACATCCACGATGCTTACAAGACCTATGAGAGCCAGAACCTAGAGTACTTCATCTGCACGACAATCCGAGACATGTTCGTCGCTCACAGCGTCCACAATCTCTTCGGCCTCACTCTTCTTCACAACCACTTCAAGCTCGAGGAAGCCGAGAAGCTCGTACATGTCGACAATATCGCGCAACCTTGGAACGATTATACGGCTCGCAAAGAGCTCCTGGCTGATGTCGTCCCAACGCAATGGCGTTTCACCGACAGCGGTATCGCGCCATTCGAGTTCAGTTGGACTGGAAATGACCGCAGCATCTCGGACTTCGACATAAAGGAACACAAGGTCTTTTTGCAGGAGCTACAGGCGTTTCTAAAACTTCAAAGCTGGTTGGGTGTCTTCGGGGTGCAGTATCTGGACACCTCGGTGCAGGCGATCGGCGAAGAGAATGTGCCTGTGGAGATGACGAGGGAGAGGGTGAACATCACGCTTCCGTTTGTGCTGAATGAAGGAGATGAGCTGGCGAACTTTGAAGTTCTGTGGTCCTTTGATCCGATGATTAAGTTGAAGAAGTGTTGTATTGGTAAGTGTCTGGACAAACAGTCTGGACACCCAAAGTCTCATACACACAAGACTTGCAACTGATAGAGGTGATGGTACAAACAGCGGGCGGCCAATTTGACGACTAGCTAAGACTCTATCAACTTCGTTCACCCAAAAAACCATGACATGGCACAGCGACGTGAGTACTCGCGACAAAACGACAAACCCATCATGAGCACAAAGCCATCTCACCTAATGTAGGGCAAGTCGCGCCCTTCCGCCTGCGATCTGCAGTAAGCATTGCGTTATCCCACGCGATCCAACGTGAGATCAGCACCCGGCCCTCCTCGGGCTGATCCCTGACATACGCCCCGTGACCGTGCTTTCGTCTCCGTCAGATCAGAACGGATCAGATGCACCGAACAGTCGGTCTGCCCCGAGGAACGCGTATGACATGCTGAACCTGGGGCTCTGCTGAGAAGATGCACGTGGTGATGCCCAAAAGCGGCTCGTGGTTTATCTGATGGGAGTATGTGTGGTAAGCGTGATCTATCTGCTCGGGCGTATTTCACGGTGAAGGTATCTGGTATTACGCCTTGGCCAGATGTTCTGCCTCTTGGGGGTTGAAGTCTGGTCTAGGCCGTTTGGGTCGTACTAAACATACAAGCAACATGTTCTCGTGATGCGAACATATGGAACGCATGCGGCACGGTTAGTTGCGACGATAATTCGCCGTCGCTAACGACTCCATATAAACCATCAGGGTCTGGACTCAGCGTGGGATAGTCTTCATCAAGGCATGTGACTTCGTGACCAGGATTGATCGCCTGAACATCTTGTGTGACACGGGTCCTCGGCGTCGGGACAACCACTGGTCATCTGTGAGGGCCCTTGTATGCCCACCGCCCATTCCGCCTCGTTAACGTGCGCGATATGCTGAGATCATAACACCTACTCTGATAAGCTCAGCTGATGCCTATATCGCATCCGGTGCCGCGGAAGTTGTAGCTCCTTGGCAAGTATTAGGCAGTGGTCAGGATTGGGGCCAAAGGTTGACTGCGCCCTCTATTGTGGCGGAGCTCGCATAACTTGACATGTTGGGTGCGGGCCAGGCTGCGGAGAAAATGTTTAGAAGGATCGCATGCGTGTAGGCGAGAATTAGTGTGTTACAGATACATTGCGCTACATACGGTGCAGTTGGATGGGTAAAGAAATGGGGAATCTCTGGAGTTTGAAGAAAACGAAAGAATTGACTAGGCGAACACCAAGCCTTGGGTATATGTGAGAAATGAAAAAGCCTCGTTGCGCATTCCCTTGAGATGCGGATCGAGATACATGGGGGACGTAGTGTGGACGGGCTCGAGTCTGTGGTTGGCGCGGATGTTGCCTTGAAAAGCGATCGACTTCGAGCTCCGTGGAAGAACCCTCCGAGAGGCGAAGATGGGAAAGATTATTGGTTAGAAAGAGTGGAATGAACGCCGATGTAATGCAAAGCTGACCATCCTGTATCGACAGGGTTCGCGATCGGGTTGTATACGTAAGATGGCTTGTACCGTTAATGATGATCCTCTATGTGTAGTCGATGATGAAACCGAAAGTGTAGTAAACGCCGCCTCCCCGGGGTATGATGCGTCCAGTGTCCAAATGCCGAAACCGCCGTATTCAACGCCAAACCAGATACCGGATATTATTAGAGAACTGCGAACGTCTGAAGGTGTGCGGGATGCGCGAGGCGAATCTAGCGATGAGTGGTGTGGAGAGCGATTGGTGCAACACCCCATCGGGTTAGGCCCGCATGGATCATGCGGACATTGGTTGATCACCCGATGCAGATCAGAGCCCGCAACGCGTAGTCGTATCGGTAACCCTTGGAGTTCTGTCTCCCAATCTTGCCTCTCCTACACCCTCGTTGTATCTTCACCGTATTGATGGTAGCCATGAGTTGATGACATTTGGCTGAAGTCTGGCAAGCCGTTCTGCCGTGGCATTTGCAGCGCATGCGCGATTGGCGGCATTTCCGTTGCAGCCGAAGTATTGGGATATCCATAGTCCCAGGACCCTCGTCCTCCATGAGAAAGAGGCGACGGGTATTGTGATATCTGGTGAGTGGTAGTGCCCCACAGAGTCATGCCCTGGCCTGAAGGTGTCCTTTGGGCAACCGGCATGCCTTGTCCTGCTGATCCCTCGAAGCCTGCTGCCACATTTTGATGGGGCGATAGACTAGACGAGGTCAAGCCGGATGTATAGGCCGTTGAAGCAGTCGAAGTAGGCAGGGTTTGAGGTGATGTGTGTCGATGAGCGTTCAGTGTTGCCTGCAGGGCAGTGCTTGGAGCGTACGAAGTCGTCGCAGTGGAGAGATGCCCAACGCCAGCTGTCGAGGCATAACTAGCAGACTGGTCTTGTTAGCTTCGCTCTCAGTAGCTAGTTGCGGAGAACGTACGTATTTGCTGATGATCTTCTTTAGAGCATGCGACAGTATCTTCCAGGGGAACACCTTGACGTCCTTCTCAATATTACGAGGCTTGGGATTGGGGAAACCCATGATAACTTTGAAGAATGGTTCGCTATCCGCCCTCGCCTTGGAGACTGTGAGGGGGCGAAAGCCTTCGAGGTTGCGACGGATGCGGTTCTTCTCCTCGACGGTAAAGCGAACGTTTACGAGTTGTTCCAGTAGGAAAATGGTGTCTACGCTTGTGATGAAGCACTCATTCTTCTCTTTCCACCAGATACAGCTGACGCAGATGCCACGCCCCTGTCGAGCTTCCAGTGTTGTGGGCGCAAAAGTAGTCGTTATCTTGCTGCCATGCTGCGATCTTTGGAACTCGACAAGTCGTCTCTTCGCGTCCAACTCCTCTGTCGACCAGTTGTCGCCCATCTTATCAAGATCGCCGTCGATCTCCAATATCGCCTTGCTCGGACCCATCGCATACGGATTGAAAGGCTGAGTCGAACCAGCACTACCGTCTCCTTGCGAGAGATGTGTTGCACGGACCAGAACTGGTGTTGAAAGTGCGGGTGGTGAGGGCAGAACAGTCGCGGTGTTGCTTCGAGTGGTATGAGTGAGGGGGTTGTAGGAGGCATAAGAATGCGGCATCGGCGACATTTGGGGCAGTTTGTAGTCGCTGTGGCTCATGCCAATACCTGACGGTACTGCGTAAAGAGCTCTCTGGGACAGTTGCGAGCCGTAGTTTGTCTGCTTAGACATATCATACCCAGCGCTCTGTGCGTACGTGTTGTCCAACGCAGACTGGGTCGGTAGCGGCGACAGTTGAGCGGCAGAGTAGGCTCCCGACGAAGCGCGTGGCTTCGCAAATGCTCGCTTTGCGACATTGCCATCGGAGTAGCCTCGACTGTTTCCGAACTCTGGCGAGTATTTTCGTTTCCTGGAGAAATTGGGTGAGGATTGGTATGCTAGGTTTGGCGACATGTCGGTGTATGTGAATCTTCCAGCGTCCGTTTCCGATCG